TTTTTTGACCCTTTGTAATTCTTTTTGTTCATCAATTTTGCGCTTTTTTTCGTTGTTATCGCTTATTCTAGAGTAGTTCTATCAATTCCCGTCAAAAAAGGGTACCCTATATTTTTGCTAACGGTGACTTTAAAGTTGCTAGAGCCCTTTCCAACGAGGGGCGTGATCGACTACAATACCACATTCTTACCCGGTATTTCAATTTTTCGAAGGCCTTCGCTCTGAAAGTTTGGCATTTCTAAAAAAATTACATTTTTCAATTAGAAAGCAACGACATCTCATGTGCAGAATCAAGAAAGGATCTCTTGGTACGGTTTTATAAAAAGGTATTGGTAGACCCCATTCTAACTCGGTCTGGCTACTGCTCGCGAGCAACTCCTTACTCCAAAAGTAAAAGTTTCTTATCAGATCCCCCTTTCGAGCTAGCGGCAAGCTCTGCCCTAAGCGATCCGTAGTAGTAAGAATTTTACAACATCAAGCCATCTAAAAACCCTCGTTTAGCCACAGAATTTTTTGTAGGTTTCCTGAATTTCAAAAAGACAAGTCGAGATTTCCTCCTTTATATGGAGTCAACAAGACCAACGCACTGGCATAGCAAGCCGATTTTGTAAAGTAGCACTTGTAAAGTACCGCTCACAAGCTCATGAAAGTTAAGGTTTTGAAATTCCGACTATGCAGCAAATCGAAATCAGTGTTGGCGTCCAATCAGCTCACGGAGAGCTTTGTTTCATCCAGTGAGTTGACATTTTCCTTGGACCCTAAAAACAACGAGGATTCGTTGAGAAGTATCAAGTGGTAGGTTCAAGGAGAGCGTTGCACTTTAAACCTAATCCTCATCACGCGCTCATTTCCCTTTTCTCGTCTGCTCCCTTTTGGCGAAGTAATGCTATTAAGGCAGGGCCGTAGAGCTGTTAATTCGAGTAGGAAGGACATCTAGTGAGTTATGGGACAACAAGATAAGATCGGCCAGCAATTCCTGAGCTTTTCAGCTAAAATTGGGGTTCCTGTTAGTGCTTCACTGCCATGAACTAACTACACATGCATAATTCTCTCAGCGTGCCTCTTAATGTATCGATACGTGTGTTCAACCGGGAAATCATAACATCTGATTCCTATAAACCTAGAGCGTTCGGACTTGGAAGAGATGAGAGCTTCTAGAGTACAGCGTTGTGCGTTGAGCGGAGAGCGTCGAAGCTGCGCTAGCGTCTGCGCCGCTGAGAATGCTCGCGCCTTGTTGACAACATAGGATCGATACCGCATAGTTTGGAGGTGCTTTTTCATGAAATCCTTCTAAAATGTTCAAACAATTCAATCATTAACTAGTTTAACGACAAACTTTCTACACTAGTTCAACGGCTGAAATAAGTACACTCTAAAGCTTCAAAATGGAAAAATGTGAGATCGCCGAAAATCGGATTGACACGTTCTTCAGCGATAACGATTACGATCAAAACACGGGATGCATTAGGATCGGCTTTTATCCTAGGTTCTACCATTCTTCCATATTGGCAATATTGTGGGCTAGAACGGCGAATATAGCAGCTGTGTATTTGATATCATCTTCTTTGAATATTGACACGTAATCAGCATTGGAGTGGTGAAAGTTGAAATAGTAGTCGCTCCCTAAAAAGAAAGTTTGGTAGACAAGCTTCAGCTCAGCTAACAGACAGGGAATCCTATGCCCTCGCCTACAACAGCTTTATATTGGCCTATCCTGCTTTAGCGCCACCGCTTACAACGGGCTGGTAGCCTAATATGGGCATGAATAGCTCTGGGAAGGTCTCATTATATATTGTATTCGTATTGTCAATTTGGCCGCGTCGTTTATCTTTTATCACTCGTCTGTCTCGTCGACCGCCTGCATGCTTCCACGTATACTCGTCTGTCGTCGTCGCAGTGACTTTGAAATCTGCCGCTTGCTGCTTACCGGAAGGATCGGAACTCCAACGCGTGGGAGGAAAGAATAGCCGCGAGGTTGAGGCGGACAGCCTATGTGTTCCGCAGCTGAATATCGCTGGTTCACACCGAGGAGTCAAAGAAGAAGTACAGGAACTCAAGGACGCAGAGACGCACGGTCCAGTTTCAACACATGCTCCTGGACACCGCCGCAGTACCAAGCCTCAAAGGCTGGTTGTGCCCCTAACAACGCAGAATTTTGCCCGTATTTATTATTAGTCTATTCTTCACCTGTAAGTAGCACATCAACTCATTATTAACTTAAGTTTTTTGTAATGATTAATAGTGTAGTATATTCAGTTTTCAGTTTTTTATCGCATTTTCCAACATGTAGTCATCGGGTTCAGACATAATCTTGAAGATTGCAGGATCGTCAAGGACCGCAACACCGTGGGGTATGCAAACGAGCAAGGATAGTGCGGATTTCCGCGTCTTCGTAACGACAATTATGCAGCGCCCGTTTGCGATCCCATTGGTACTACCCACTCCCCTTCCCTTATCACGTAACATCACCCATCTTGTTCTATGCACTACTCTGTCAAACCACTAAATATGCGTGATCCTATATCCTTCCGTAGGCCAGTAGATAATGGAAAAACAATCAAGGATTACTGTCAGGCAGTATAGTAAAATTCAAAGACTACTATATGTAACTCTCGAAGTCTTACCTTTGTCGGACTCATAATTCACTGTTGGAATTCCGGCATTTGCAAAGACGGTTACGTCAATCTGGAAGTGAATTTCTATGAGTAGTTCTTGTTGGGTTTGAGAATGGAGCAACTTTTTAGCTAATTATTCCAAAATAAGTAAAGGACCTCAGAACCATATTTCCAAGTCACTATCGGAAAATAATCATCAGCCTGTACAAGTCTACTTCCGTCGTCACGTCACTTTTGTGTTTGCTGACAATTGTACTGATTTGATTATAAAAAATTTCGAAAACAGAACGCAAAAAAAGTTGGACAACAGTTACAGTAGTCTACCGCGAGCAGCAGTGCAAACGAAACCCGAGTCAGTCCTCACCTGATCTTTGTGATTTTGAACTCGTAACGGAATTCCGTTAGTATTCATCAACAGAACCATCTGCTCAATCAACGACTTCTGAAAGCGATTCTACGATCTTCCGAATCCGAAAAAAAAGAGTATTATATTTCCTACACACATGTCCTTTATCGCCTTGATACCGCAATCTAGCTTGGAGATTACATGGCCGAAATGCTCCTAGATCACACTCCGATGCGAATACGAAACGTTCACTTGTGTTTGAATGTTTATGAAAATAGTGGGAAGATCCTAGAGTTCCTTGTTCTTCGGCTGTCCAGAATACCGCTCGTATAGTTCTAAAAGAACCTTCGATAACATTTTATCACAGTGGAACATCTCGAAAAAGAGGAAGGAATAACAGTAAAAGTGAAGGTAACTTCTGTTTCGTTGAAGAAAGAAGCTAGGCGGAACGATTTTCCGAAAAATATGAACCTCCCCAGCTAACCTATAAGTGACATTAAAAGGACCCGAAAATTTGCTTGAAGGCACAGCTCACAATAATTTTGGGTAACCCAGTTTATGATGAATAATGGAAAACAAGGTCGAAAATAGTGCGATGAAGGTGGAGAAACTGTGAGAATCGGTCTTTCCAAAGTGAAAAAAGTCTTCAAAAGAATCGTTAAAAACGGGCTAGACAAGAACGAGACCAGAGAAATGGACACTGAGGAGTACGGACGATCTGTACAATGTGTCTCACTGCGTGCGTGTGGGTCCTGGTGCGAAT